TTGGATATAAGACTTATGAAAACATAAGTGCACATGCTGATCAAGTAATAAAGTGAATGAGAGAGTGTTGAAAAAATTGTGTTACACACAAATATTTCTAGTATTGTTTACATAAGCTAAACTATTTATCCTACTAAATGTAATCAAGGAAAATCTCTATCTCTAATGAGAAATGTAAAACATAATGAAGATGTTAGTAATTAAAGTCTTTTGGATTAAGGAAAGTGAATAACCAAAGTTTTTCCTAAGCAGACTTATTTACACTAGCTGTGAATTAGAGCATATGCATCCTTAGATCTTTATCAAGCTTTTAAGAATATAAAGAAAGGTTTATAGCCTTCCTAAAATTATTCGATCTCCATCGACCCTAGAATACTAAACATCCTATGTCTAGGCATGCAAGCATTTCATTTGAATTCTCCTAATTATTCAAACATTCCTTTATCGAGATAATGCATCACACTAAATGTTAAATTTTATACATAGCCACTGCATAAATTAAATGATGAGTGAGAGAAATTGAAAACAACTATTCATACTTTAAAATACAAGAGTCTACATTAGAAATTACAAAGGTTTTCACATCATCAGTATAAAAATATGAGATTAGCTGGCCAACGAATTAAAATTGAATTACATAAATTTTATTATTTCTTAAGAAAGAAAATACAAGTAGAGAAGATGAAAGACATATTACTTTGAATGAAGAATCCAAAACATATCATATATATTGATCCTTCCCAAAGTGAATCTCCCCTTACAACTTTTCCCTCCATACTCATTTCCTCTCCAATGGATTGTTTGCTCACTATAATGTTGACCAACCACTCTTAATGATGCATCTCACTATTCTCTTATATCTATCTGACTCTCTTTAAATAAGCTCTAAAATATCCTCTCACAAAAAAAGATAAAACTATTTAGACTTAATGCATAAATAGACTCGGCGCTGTGGTGCTCGATAAGGTGGCATCATGACATTGCAATATGAAATAGCACCTCATCGCTACTACATGTTCTCCATTGTGGTGCTCGACTACCCTAGCACAGTTGTTGACGGAATCAGTGCGACTTTTGGCTAAGTTAGTGCATCGCTTTTTTTTTTTTTTAACTATTTCTCTGTGGCGCTGCAAAAGATAAGTGATGTGGTGCTTACTTACATCATATACATTGTGGCACTTTTGATGGCACTCCAACATTAAATTATTTGTAACTTTTCTTGAGACTTTGGCGATTTAATGTTCACTCTTGGCATTGCAACACTATGGTATCAGCCTTTTCTCCACCAGGGTGCTGAATTAAATGCCTTAGCCATTGTTGGAAAACTCCTCTCATTGTGATAAGTTTTGTAATTAGTAGTGTGTGAGTCCCCGAGAAAAGGATAGTCTTAAGTAATTTTGCATTATAGGTGTTTGCAAGGCGAGGGACGCATCATTAATATCAAAACACCTCAGCCACTATTGGTCAACGTACCATGTTGAGACAAGCTCCATAATGAGCAGTGTGCAAGTCTTAGGTAAAAGGCAAGTCTTAAGTACTTCAATGCTATAGGAGACTATAGGCATCATGCCATTTACCACTATAAGGAATACCCCCTCTTTTTCTGATAAGCTTCATAAAAAGTAGTGTATGGTTTCCCTCTTAGCAAGTAAAGTCTCGCATCATAAATAATGGAAGTGAACAACCCTGATGGGTGATAACTTCTCCCTTTAATGCGATAAGCTCCACAATAAGGGTAGAGCGCAAGTCCTCTTAGTTAGTGAGTCTTGATGGTGACCCCCGTGAAGACCATGAGTCTTGTGTAAGGAGTGATCCATCACAAGAGGCTTCACATATAAGCGATGAACCCACTCATCAACGAAGTCGAGAGGGTCAACTCACATTATAAAACAAAGGGAGCTTGAAGACTCAACTATTTACTAAAGATCAAACATGATTGAAATCAATATGATGAAACTAACAATCATCACCACTCAAGTATGTAAATATATGAAAAACAATCGAGTGAAAAATTAATCTCTTTGTATATTTACTCGCATTACATGAAAAGTACAACAAAATACAAATGAAGGCAACTCATTTATTAGTCGCCCTTGCGCCTTCACTTTCTTTATGGCTATCAATGTCAAGAAACTCTCTAAAGTAACAAGAAGGAACCTTGAATCTAGGATGGAGCATGCCTCCAGCCATAAGCTTTTCAACAAAATTGGTGATCCCATCAAAATAACGATCATCCAACAAACATTCAAAGTCATCATCACAAACAATATGGAAGGCCACATCCATTTTTCTAGTCAGTTCATCAATAACCACCTCAGCCTATTCCTTGGTATTCATGATTGCGGAGAAATTAGTAGTAATTACCTCAGCCTAATCTTTGGCAGCCATAGTTGACATCGCAATAGACTTCATCGAGTGAAGTTAGAACTGATGATGACCCTTCAGCTAGGCAATCTCCCCCTTTAGTAGACTTTGTTTCAACGATATCTCCAAGTGAACCCTCCTTTCTTTGTCCAAGTCAAGCTAGACGAGCTTCTTCATGTCACTCTGATGCTCAACTCTAGAGAATGAGTCAAGATGATGCTTTTTGCCCAAAAGATTAACTTTTTTGCGGGCATCAACCAATGAGTGCATGGTTGAGCATGCCAACACATGTGGATTCAGCTCTGATATGTACCTCTCTAGTGCGTCATTGTAAAGAAGATTGTCATTCTCAAAGAACCAATTGGATACTAGATTGAGACCCATATGAACACTCTCAAAACCCTCCTTGTTGGAAGGAGAGATGTTGTCATCATCCGATGGCGTATAACATCTGAACCGCCATGCATGGCACTCAACATGCTCTTTCCCTCTACATGGAACTACTAACTCCTTAACTCTTGTCATAAGCTTGGAAAACACCTCGCTCTCGATGAAAGATTCAGTAATTTCCTTTCCCCTGACAAGCAGGGAAGGACAACTTCACTCTTCAGGTGTCAACGATCTTTTTGTGACCAACATTCTAGAGCTCGTTCCCACATCAACATCTTTTTGCTTCTTCAAGCATACCTCTCAAAACACTTTAAAACTAACCAAAGATGATTTTGCCTTTGACCTCATTACTACCAGTATAGCCTTCTTTGGAGATCCAAGGTCAATGGGAAAATTGCAACTTGTGACCTCTCTTGCAATGACACACATCATCAAAAAAAAAAAAAAAAAAACTTTATCTCATCAAGACAAGCGAGTCACTTATCATATAAATTCTTTTCAGCATTCTTATAGGCGGCATGGTGTTGAACGATTAATGGTTCATTCTTCACTTGGGCCAGTACCACCTTTTATTTAGAAGACAATTTTGAAAGAATCAGTATCTTCTTTCTCAACTCAATCAAAGCAATCAACACCCTCCATTCAGGCACACCCGCCGACAATGAACTTTCATCCATGCTCGTACTTTATTCACTAAGCCAACAATCTTACTGAATGCATATGAAAAATGGACAAATCATGCATTAGATGTCTTCTCCATGAACACATATCTAAACAAATTTAGCAACCAAAACAAGTTGTGATCTAGTAGGTAAGAAGCAAATGATATGATTACCGCCACATAATTTGTTTGCATCTGAGCATGAACCATTATGTAGTAATCCAAAATCTCAACATAAAGAGGAAATCATAGCCCTAATGCCATTTGATCTATAAGAATGACCAATTTCCCTCCAACACAGAGTTGATGCACCCTTCATCATTCACTAACCTCATATAATAGTCAGCATTAGAAAAGCAGATAGCTTGGAAGATGTACTTGACATATTCCTCTGTAAAGCGAATCTTGGGTAAATTCTTCTCACGAAGGAATCTACTTGCACACTTACACAAGCCAAACATATAAGTAGAAGAATTTAAGAATAGAAAAAAAAGAGGAAAAGCAAGGACCCTATCCTTAGGGCCTTACCTCTTCTATTTATAATCTTAACTTGACACAGGGAGCTCAAAGCATCTCAAATCAAATTCAATACGAAAGATATCACCATTCCATCTCATCATTACAAGATCTAAGGATCCATATCACACTCGCTCTAAATCGCCATAGTAATAATTATCGAAATTCATAGTGCACTTGCCGTCTAGTCTTATTTGACAAAGCTTCAAATAATTATTGAAATTCATAGTTCACAATTCCATCTCATCACTAGGTTGAAAGGAAGACATATAATGACCCGCATGCCCCCTTTCATGATGAAATCATAAACAAAGCACCTAAGTAAATCCAATGGCCATGCTATTCTGGCATCACTGAAGTTTTGTTTGGGATAGCTTTCTTACTGCTTTGTTTTTCATACCATAATTACAATTTCTATTTGGCCACGCTATTTCGCTGTTTTTTAAAAAACTTTTAGCTAGAAAAATACTTTTTACAACAAAATTATTTTCTCTACATAACCTTCATAAAACAGTAAAAAGATTGTCTCAAATGAAAGCCTGAGTCTCGATTGTAAAGTTCTCATTGAAGGACTTGGTCCCACCTCATGAAGTTCTCCAAGGTATTCATCATGCCACTTTAAGCTCATTCAGGCACTCGAACCAAAGCAAACCATGCTTTGATTTAATTTTTTTAGGCATTTAAAAAGAAGATTATGATTTGCTACATAGAAATTTCTATGATTAAAAAAAAAGACCATTAATCACAGCAAACAATATTCTCAAGATAGGAGAACTTCTATGAACTATGCAACCAGAAAATGAAAAAAAAATAAAAAAAATAAAAGAAAAACTTGCAACATTCAGCAGATGACCTACAAATCTGGTTTAGAAGGTTCAGCATTGAAACTCCTTTGCGAATTAAATTTCGTTTGGGAGGGCTTTTTTTCTGCTTCTTAAAGTCATCCTAAACGAAGCCTTAGACAAAAACAGATTTTCTAACATGAAGTTGCCACAGAGAAATGCTGCTTGGTCATCATAAACGATGAGGGAAAGAACTTTCTCAAGGAAGATTGCCCGAAGGCTAATAATAATTTTGAATTCCATATTTCAAATCAATATTGATCTATAATCTGACAGTTCATAATTGGAAAAAAAGAGAAGTAGAAAAAATTTCAGGCAAATGTTCAATACAAGAAAGAAAGCTTCAGGTAGTAAGAAGATTATGAAACTTTAGCAAGAATAAATGACACAATTCATCGATTATTGCAGGTTTCTCATCTTTATTTATAAAGTTGATCAATATTGATAAATTGGCATCACCTGATCTTCTACTCCAAGCTCAAAAGTCCAACTTCTTGATAGTACTTAACTGAATCATCGATGGTCTCCTTTAGTGTCCTGCACTTCCATCCAATCTTCTTCAATTTTTCTGAACTCAAATCATTTGCTTCGTTCTTATCAGGGATACTGCCAAATACCACATAAGACCATCTCCAACTGAAAATCACATTTTTCACTCCAAAATGCCGTGAAACTAAAAAATGCCCTGATTCTTCTCCAACCGAACTCCATTTTGCCCCTTTTTGCGAAGGTAACGGTCTAAATCTTCTTTCGCGCGTTTCTTCAGCAAGTTCGGTACATACAGAAAAATAGTGAAGATGAACAGTGCAACGCCAATATTGGCGTCCCACTGTTCACCCGCAACCAAATAGCAGAAATTTTACCGTTCGGTTGGAGCTCGCGAGCAACGCCGTTCAAGATTTTGGAGTTCGGTTGGAGATGCCCTCAGCAAAATGTGCAGAGTAGGAAACATGGAAGTAGTTTTTATATCAAGATGGTGGGAGCCTTACTTGTTAGGGTACTTGAAACTAGGATACATGTTCTTCAACATATCAATCAAGTCAGTATTTTGCGTCTGGTTTAGTGAGCATATATAACGTCCAGAAGCAGTAGGCGTCTCATAAACTAGAAGAAGTGCATCAGCAACATCTCTAACATCCACAAAGGCCCCGCTACGATAAGTCTCTATTAACTCAGAGGATCCTACAAAAGTTGATAATGCAGTTTTATATAGTTAATGAAGAAAAAACATTACCCATAACATATTCTAAAATATGTTTAAGGCTTTATTTGGGACGGCTTTTTTATTGTTTTTTAAAGCAGCTTTTTAGTATAAAAATTTAAATTTTTGTACTAAAAAGTTATTTTAAGAAGCAGGAAAAAAGCCGTCCCAAACGAAGCCTAAGTCTATTGGTTTGAAGGATTATTATTGTTCACGATACAACAAAATCAAAGATTCATGATTATTGACAGAGTATAGAATATGACCTTTCAAAAGATTAATGAGCAATGAGCTGCTATAATTCACGTTTGATTGCAGTAACGGCCCAAAAACCATACTTAGGCAGAGAGTAACAACATCTAGTCCATTCTCCTGTGCAAGTTTAAAGGCCTCCCTCTCAGCCATTGTCTTGGAAAGGCAATACCATTTCTGACAACACCATTAACAGGAATCAATACAGTAAAAATTTCAGATGACTTGCGTAAATGTGAGAACAATTTCTTTTCTGTTATTGTCCTATGTAACAGCTACAACTGCATATGTGCTGTAGGTTCAAATAAATGAGTGTAAGATACAACATTACATTACCAAGTTAGAAACACAGCATAGCTAGGCCTACATATTGAGTATCTTTATTCGTTGGCTTTAGAGACAGGGCCTAGCAACTCAGATCAGCTTTATATTTGCAAGGCATAAGTTCATTGAGTACTGGAACATTCACGATAATAGATAGAGACTTTACGATCTTGACATTGAATGAAAAATTTGTGCACACCAATGGATAAATTTAAAGTAGCTCATAGGAGACATAAGTAGAAACAATGGACATCGGAGTTGATGTCCATAGTGGGTGTTAGCGTTAATGTTGACGGTGGGCGTTGGCCCTGGTGGTGATGGTGGATGTCAGACTGGGTGGTGATGACGAACATTGGCCTTATTGGAAATTATGGGTGTCAGGTGCTTGGCAAAGCTCTGGATTCATTGCTCTAGAATCCTTCTTGTAGCATCATCTTAGATTCTTAGCCTCTCTAAATGTGTGGAAGTAAGATCTATTTATAAATTTTTGCAGAGTGACATTTTAATCATTTTGACAAAAAATCAAAGGACTATTAGAATGTGTGGGTTGATCCCTCTTGTTCATAAAATGTTAATTGTGCAATTGAGTGTCTTAATGACATCAAAATTGAGCAATATTGGGCATGTTATATTTGTTTCATTGACATGCATGCTTTAGCTATAAATTTGCTAAAAAATAGAGTTCAAATGGTCATATATTTGATTCTGAAATATTTTAATTTAAGTACTTACATCAAGATCCATTCTTGATCAGAAGAATTTCTTGATGGAATATCAACTTTAATTCCTAAACCATAGAGGGCCAAATTATTTTATTCAAGATAGCAAAAGTAACTTCAACAAATGAACTTCAAGTCACACCTTAGTGTGATGACCTATGTCGGATTTATGTTCATCTTTGTACATTCTCCCTTAATATATATAAGGTATATAAGCCTTGGTTCTCTTGCCCATTGTGATAAAGCCATGTACTTCACAAGTTAAGGGAGAAGAGTCTAAAGATCTACATAAATTATCCCTTTATGAAAATCTGAATCTACCCTTAGCCTAAACCAAATCTTAACCACCCAAGTGTTAAACTTTAAGTCAAGTAGAACCTTCACATATGTGTAGGTAGTAAGTTTTTCATTCTTATGTTAACTTTTAACATTAACTACCTTAGACATAGGAAAACTGAGATTTTTGTGGTGGGCAATAGGCTCTCTTAGTGTGTCACTCGCTGACACTACCTCGAGTCTTAGAAAATCGAGGACTAACCAACCATGCCACCTGATAATCATTTCAACCTTGGTTAGGTGTAGGATAGATGAAGGGCCATTTGCCAATCAATTTATTACAACTCTAGCATATGTTAGGGCCCATGCATTTGAACTCTTTATAACCTAATAATTAGAACTGTAACTCTAAAATTAAGTGTCAATTAATCCACTCTAAATAACTAATCACTTAAAGAGAAATTTAAGGGATAATAATGTAAAACCCAAAAATGACGATCGTAGGTCATCGCACTCTTTTCGATGCGTTGCGATGAAACTTAAGTGAAAAATCAAAGTTAAAGGAATTTAACAAAAATAATTTTATAAAATCCTACACAAAATTCTGATCGTTTTGATGTATAGAACCTATAGTTAATTATGTTTATTTATGGGGTTAAAATTTTAGAAGCCTAAAAATACCAAAACTACCCTTAGTTAATATTAAAGCGAATGATTTTTTAAGTGGGGGTATAATGGTCATTTAACAAATTCCTTTTTCCCTTATATGATAAAACCGAAACCCTCCCCTCTCATTTCACGCAAGCAGCCCAAATCGAGAGAGAAGGGCAGACGGGACATACGGCGGGTTTGGCAGGGAAGGCTTCTCCGGGGACGTTTTTCTGGCGAAAAAATTAGGGGAAATTAAAGAGGAGATCAAGAGAAGAAGAAGGTATGTCTTAGAATTTTGTTCTCTTCTAGATCTCAAGTTATTTGGAAAAGAACTTTCTAGGTTTTTTTCAAAATCTAATTTTCTTCCAAAATTTTTTTAAGGAATCAATAGAGAATGATTAGGGGAGCATTTTAACAGTAGAAATGAAGATTTTGGGGAAAATTTTGTAATTCAGAAGGTTAGGATTTTTTCAAAAATTTTAATTCCTTAAAAATGTTTTTACAAAAATTATTCCTAACGATATTAGGAATGTTTTTAAAACATGAATTTGGATTTTTAATTAAAATTTTATTTTTCATAATTTCCATAATTAAGTTAATCCAAAAATTAATAATATAATTATAAATATATGTTTAGGAATAAGTTTAGAGTAATAAATTGATAAAATTTATGATTTTCTGAAAATTTAGATTTAATTAAATCCAAAAATTAATATTAATTTAATTAAAATTCATTAAGTGTCATAGAGAATAGTTAAGGGGAAATGACTAGTTTAGACTTAGGAATAAGATTAAACTTTAAGGAATTAAATTTATGACACATCTCTTCTGTAAACATTTTAAGTTATGATCGTTAAGGTGAAAGAGCTGTGTCGAAGCGACATACCGTGCTTAAGGGAGATAGGTACTTATATTTAAATCAAATTCATGTCTCTGAATTTGTTAAATTTTCTTTTATGTTAAGTAAACCATGTTCAACTTATAAATGTTCTATTTCATGCAACTTCTATATGTTTGAGTTTTATTTATATTAGTACGTAAGAAAGATTTTATATTTGTTTTTTTTTGTCTCTTAATTGAATTCTAGATAAACATAAAAAAAAAATTATGCATGAAACGAATTGAATGAACATATATGAAATTCAAAATAACTTAAGTCCTATAAGATCTATTATAATTGCATGTGCATGTTGATCCGGAAGTGCCAAAATGGCAATGGTAAAGGGGCTTACAAAAGCCAAATGATAATGGGGTTATTCGAAGCCAAATGACAAAAGAAATGGCCAAAAGACTATGTACCTGATCAGTAAAAAAATGAGTACTTCCGGGACGGGTGTAAAATTTATGATTAAGTATGTTATGTATACAAATGAAAGGTTAAGAAGAAAAGAAAAGTTGATGAAAGAAAAAGTTTATGAAAAATGAAAATCTTTAAGGAAATAATTAAAGGAATTTTTGTATGAAAAGGTTATCCAGTTTATGTATATCAAAGTATTCTGAATAAAAAAAAAGATTTCATGATAGATGTTTTGTTTTTATTTAAGTCATGAATTTGAGATAAATATATGTTATCTACTGAGTGTTGGCTCATCCTACTTTTGAAAATATTTTTCCGGAGAATCAAATAAGAAGTAATGGCTACAAGACGGCAGTATACCTACCATCATACAGGACCTCAAGAAGAAGGAAGGTTTCTATGTTTTATGTTTTATGTTGAGTCTTTGATCTGTCTCTGTGTAGTTTATGGGAGCTTATGTAACTGTTGAAGGTTTAAATTTTTAGTAATTGTGTAAGAAGATAGAGTTTGGAACACTTTTATTTGATGTTATTAGTGACTCTTTCATATAATTGGATGATGTTTATGTTCTGACATTAAATCTTTAATGAAATTGTTTATGTTTTATATATGTTTTTCGTTCGACCAACTGTTCCCGCCCCGTTATATCGGGCAAGCGGGCCAGGTTGTGACAAATAAATTGAACAATATGAGCCCGATCTTACAACTTTAACCTTCACCTAATTTGAGATAGTTATGCAACACTAACTTTTCATGCACTTAGGTGTTGGATATGATAGGGAATTTATATAATTTTCTTTTTCTAAATAAAATTTAGTTAAGAAAGTCTTGTAGGTGTGAAACCCTAAAATTGTTTTTATAAGAATTTTTGAGCTAGAATAGTCAATATTTATTTCTGGAGTCATAATAAGTTCAAATCACAAACCGTTTGTGTCATAATATTTATATTATTGTGTTTTAGCTTCCCTAATTTTTTTTCATAATTTTTTTACACTATCAAAATTTCTTAAGAAATTGGCACCTGTCAATACAAGTGAGGTTTAGGGGATCGTCAGGTGTCCGTTTTGCAAATCGATTTCAGCAAAAATTTTTAAATGAAATTTACAAATTTATGAATATTTTTCTATAATTTTTGAAATCTTAAAAAGAATTTATATGAATTTTCTATTGAAAATTAATGATAATAATATTATTTAATAATAAAGAAATAAAAAATATCTAAAAGCATTAAGTATTATAAATGTCATCATTTCCCTAATTGACTCATGGTTAACAGAGAAAACAAAAAACGAACTAAAAGAATTAGGGAGGAGAGAGAAGAAAAAAGTCAAATTTTGGGCGACTTAGAGCCATTTTCGTCCGTCTGCTCAATTGAGAAATTGTTCATCTTGAGATAAGGCATATTATGTCCATCTCAATTTTAAAAATGTGCAAGTTTTAACAAATATTTTGATTTATATTTTATATCCATTAGCAAAAAATAGGGATAACTTTGCACCGGTAACACTTTCACCGTTTAATTTTTTATATGTTATAGAAATTATGATTATGTACATTTTGAATATTTTCTAGAAATTTTATACTAGGGGGTTTTAAATTTGTGGGATTTTTAATGAATAAAAAATTATCTGGATGTTGAAAAATAGTGATGTAGTACAATAAAAGTCTTAAAACATCATTTTACACAATTCCTGTTAATTTTATAATTTTTTAAAAATGTACATTTTCGCCTAGTTGAATTTTCTATTGTCTACCATTTTACAATACAGTGAAATTTTGATACATGCTCAATTCCTTTTTAATTGTTATAATGTGATGATATATGTACATATGTGATTAAATTATATTTGTTGGGAGCCACAAGGGGTTAGAATCCTTTGAGATTTTGTCTGTGTCAGGAAATTATGGGA